AATAGCGTGCAATTTGGAGCCCCCCCCCCCCCCCCACCCCCCGCCCCCAATCGCGAGTGCCGCCATCTCACCCCTCACCTTTAATCCCGGGATCCGGCTCGGGAGGGCGTCAGGAGAAGGAGGGAGTGAGATCAGCTCCTTGCTGATCTCCCTCCGGGCTGTGAATGCAGAAGTGATGTGTATTACATCACTTCCGCATTCACCTGTCAGTCATCTGGCTCCTACTGCCAGAGAGAAGAAGCTGATGAAGCAAATCTGTGCTTCATCAGCTTCTTTTGGGGTCTCCAGGTGACATTAGGGGTCTAGAGACCCCTAATGTCTCCATAAAGAGGACCTGTCAGTGTGCCTTTGCTATTATATAGGGGGTTGTTATCCCCCTATATAATAGCAATAACAATAAGTGCAAAAAAAAAAATATAAATAAAAAAAAAGAAAAGTAACACATAAAAAAGTAAAATAAAATAAAAGCCACATATAAAAAAAGGGGAAAAAACCCCCCCAAAATGTTTAACTCCCCCACCCCCACGTTTACGCGCCTATAAACGTAAATACGCGTCCGGTGCCCCAGCGCGCAAAAATGACAATTGCGCTATACATGTTACATATTGAAGCGAACGTCGCAGTGAGAGCAATCATTTTAGGGCCATCAATCACTGATAACACTAAACTGATGAGCGGTAAAAGCTTTTAATGCGTCCCCTATGGCCAATTTTGGGTAATGTAGTTTTTTTGAGGTTTCGCGCGCATGCGCAATTTTAAGGCTTGACATGTTTGGTGTCTCTTTACCCGACGTGACCCCGACTTTTATATTTTACCAAAAAATTTGGTAATTAATGTTTTAGAATTTAATATAGGGGGAACTGTTTTTTTTTTTTAAATCTGTAGTTTTTCCTTTAAATATATTAAAAAATAAAAAACCCGCAGTGGTGATTAAATACCACCAAAAGAAAGCTCTGTCTGTCCCCAAAAAAGGGTATAAAATTAATTTCAGTACAGCGCTGCATGACGGAATAAATGTCAGTCAAAGTACCGCAGCGCTGAATACTGAAAAATGGCCTGGATGGGAAGGGGGTTTAACACCGCGGATGTCAACGGGTTAAGGGTGGATATGATTCTGACGTACAAGATGTTCAATGTGGATAGCAACATCAGCAATAAACTTTTTGAGAGTGGAATCGTTCAAAAAAACGTTTGGACGATTTCCTCAGAGACCATAACATACAGGGGTACAGGTACACATGAGAATAAGATCACACATGAACTCGTACACATGTAGATGCACATGCATACACACAATAGGTTGGACTTGATGGACCTGTGTCTTTATTCAACCTCAAATACTAGGTAACTTTGTAACTAAAATTCTGTCTGAGGCGATTCTGCAAATAGATTCATATACACCTTACCAACAGTTACAGGAATATTTTCCAGGTTGCGCCTTTTGTTGCCCAGGCCAGAGACAGATTTCTAATGAGTCCATGAATTCCGGGGATTGTGTCATATTAGGAATTGCATATAAAACTTTGCAGAACTGTGTACCATGTTTGATATCTACTGAAAGGAAAGTGGGTTTGGGCTGCTTTTCAAGGAATAAATGAGTGTTTGTCACCCCGGAATAGGACTGATGTACTGCATACAGTAAGGTGCAGACATATGGGAGATGTTTGTCGCTTTGAGGACGGCGGTTAGGTTGAGACTACAGTCACTCTGCAGCTTGTGGACAGATCATTTTTTCCTTTAAAGGCTGCCCATGTCACAAGCACGCTGAGGTTTTGAGGGTTTTTTCTTGTACATTTTTCTTTTAAGCATTTCTGTTTTGTTACGCTGCTTACTTCTACTGTCTAAAATGCATTTTTTTTCCTATTCAGGACATAATTGACAGTATCCTCTTCTCATATGAGAGTGAAAGGTAAACTTTTATGGTATCTTTTTTTTTTTTTCCCCTTAAGAGGTTTTATTTGCTATAATGTACATATAAATAAGTGTATTGCAACTTCTTGACTGATGTTTGTTGAAATTTATTAGATGTATTTTTATTTGTGTATAAACACAAGAACCAATGTGTCATATATTACAGCTTACCAGTCCTTGTGGTGGTTGTATTGCGTTTCTATATTTTATTTTTTTAGCCTTTTCTGCCATAGGGTGACAATGCTCACTGGCTGCCCTGTATGTATGGAGGAGCCAAGGGAGGACTGGGCCGGGGGGCAGGGTGGCAATTGCCCCCCGGGCCTCTCTGATGCCAAGGGAGGAGCAGAAGTGTGATAGGACTACAGAACGCTCTCCTCTTTGCCATAATATATGGGGGATTTTCTGTAGTTCACAGAGAGAACTATAAACATTGCTAACTGATGACACTGTAAAGTGCACAGAAACCTGCAAACTCTCCTAAATCAGACAGCCAGAATGTTTTGCTGTATGTGCCTACCCTTCATTCTATTATTGAGAGTAAGTTAAAGGTGTACAGCAGGGGTAGCAAACCTCCGGCCCTCCAGCTGCGTTAAACTACAAATCCCATGATGCATCTCTCTTTTCGGGAGTCATGTCTGTGGCTGTGAGAATCTTGCAATGCCTCATACAGAGCAGTGATCCTTCTCTGCAACCTGCGGAAGAGGAGTTCAGTCTGATATTGATGATCCATTATGAAGAAGATATGAAAATGCTGAAATATTGATTTGGCTATTATGAAATAACTTCATGCTGTTCTATCTTTTTTATAAAATGATTATCCGTTTGTTTTTTCTTTTTTTTAGGTTTGTCAGTGGAAGCAAAGATGGTACGGCTCAGATTTGGGGTTTGAGACAGCAGGAATGGCACAGTATAACGCTTGATATGAGCGCAAATGTGGATAACGGGTATGTGAGCAAGATCGAGATTGATTAAGGCAAATAGATCTTGAGGTTAATCAACATAATTGTTCTTCTGCTCATCTATCCTCTTGCATCAACTGCTAAGATACACATAGACCCTATGAAATAAAACCATAAGATTCACTCCATGGCCAAACATGGACAATCGGAAGATCAAAATACTGATCCGGCTATGGCTGAAATCTCATTTGATTTGTTTATCTCTCTGTTGACATAATACCTACATGTTTCATTGAACCTTAAGCTGGCCATACACTAGCAGATTTCTGAATGAACATTTTGCACGGAAGACCTTTCATTACCACCCGATACTGCCATCAGACACTTGAATGTCGTTATTAAATTTTGTTTGATTTTTAACGTTCGATTTTGGAATGAATGGAGTGTCCTGAAAGAAAACGACATTCACTGTTAAAATGTAGTTTGGTTTTTTTTTTCGTCACTGCGGTCCAAATCGATCATCGATTCACTCCATTAAATAGAAAGTCGAGAGAAAGTTCTTTTGAAAATCTAAGTCATGTATGGCCAGCTTGAGCCCATAAGTCCCTGGCCCTGAGAAGCTTACATTCTATTAGGTAGAAATATGTGATATTCATGGCATGTTTGGACAATCGCCATTTAGCCCAAGAGTATTTTTGAACTGTAAGAGGAAGTTGACCCTAAACCCCAGCAACACAAGGCCACAGTGCTAGCTACTTCAAGAGAAGGCCCTCAGCTTTATTGTTGCCATTGTTTTTCCTTCTGGCAGCTTCCTTGTAACATAATAATTTGCCCAGAAGCATACATTTGAGTAAAGAATGAAAGTACTTTTGCTTTTTGAAATGTCACTGTTGCCCTATTTTATTATTTTAGGTACCCGTGCAATGATATTCCCCAATTTTCTAAGCCCAAAGTCCTCATGATTGCGTGGGATCTCACGGACAGCTTTGTAGTGACTGCGTGCAGTACCCACCTGCTAAAGGTCTGGGATTCTCATACTGGCAGCTTGCTGCATGTTCTGATGGTGAGTTTCAGATGTGATGTGTGACAGATCTCTATATTCAAAATGAGTGTGGATTCACCTGCAGGACAACAGCTCACTGATTACTTTGTCAGCTGGTGAACCATGATATTTGGAATGTCCCTAATTGGTAACACATTGTGTTGGCCTGTTCATCGTGACCACAGGTTCTGGGGACCACAATGCAGTATTTAAAGGTTTCTGTACCTTTAGTTATTATGCTGCCAACTTTTGAACCAGGATGTTTTAATTTTATAATTGAAGTGTGTCCTGCTGCCACATGTAACACTTGTCAAATGAAAGTTAGATCGTGAAGCCAACGAAGACACTGGGGAATAGGTGTTAGTCGCACATACACTATATAGCCAGCGGTATGGAGAGCCCTCTAAGATATTGAGTTCAGGTGTTTGCAGTGAAGGGTACAGTTAATGCTACAACATATATATATATTTTAATTTCAGCATGACTTTGTGCCCCAGTGCACAAAGCCTGTTCTATGAATCTATGAATCCCAGATGAAAGCATTGGCAAGCAAATACAGTGGTGCCTCGGTTCACGGATGCTTCTGTTCACGAACAGGAAGTTCGGCAAAGTGTTCCGTTGGCGAACTCTGCATCGGGTGACGAAGACGACTGCAGCCATCTTCCCTGCTCTGACACTGGTCGTGGCTTCATCTAGTAGAGATTACTGTCTGATCAGTTTTATTCGGTTCGCGACCAGAATCATGGAACAAATTAAGTTTTGGAACCAAGGTACCACTGTAGTGGACTTCCATTTGGGCTGGTTATCTGTTTTATTGGGTCAAAACCTACAGTAACAAGTCAGAATGGATCTTTGTGGCTGACAGCTGGGTTGACTACTTCTGTTTGTATTGTCTCATTGATAAGACTGTTCTTACTTGAGTTGGTTATTTGTGTTCATATATGTTGTCCTTTTTTCTAATGTTGTTTTTGCGAAATTGTTTACGCACAGGGTCATGAAAATGACATTTTTGTCTTGGAGCCTCACCCATTTGATTGCAGGGTGATGTTATCTGCAGGGTACGATGGAAACCTCTTCATATGGGACATCATTAATGGTGTTACATT